CAATCGATCCGAACCCTCCGCAGATCGGCTGCGAAGCCTTAGAGCAGATTTATGACGTGCGCCGATGAAGGAACGCCGCCGCCGTCAGGGATGAATTTCGACAGCCATTGCGTGGACCTTGGAAGATTGCGTTGCAAAGGGCAAGGCTGGAATTTCGGTGGGTGAAAATTGATCCGGAGAGTTTAACGAGAAATTTCAATGGAGGCTTGACAAGCCGGTTTTTACACGTTCCTTGTGTAACGTGGAAGGTATAGTCGGTGGAAGAAATATAGCGAGGTCGTGAATTAAAGCGTTAAGTAGTGGAATCGGTTGATATAGCGACACTCGGTATTTTACGCTTTTCACTCGGATGGAATCAAAGCTAAAGTATATTTAGTGCGAAAGTGAATTAGGTTTCTGATCCTTATCTTCACGTAAGATTTCTGTCGATTTGCTTTTTGATATTCTGGAACATGGAAAGTTTGACGCTTGAACAATCTTGCGTATTTGCTGTATTTATTTCAATGACTATACACTGCGTGAAAAATATATTCCTTCCTCCGACTATACACGTCAGGCCTCTGTCGATTTGCTTCTCGATATTTTGGAACATGGAAAGTTTGACGCTTGAACAATCTTGCGTATTTGCTGTATTTCTTTCAGTGACTATACACTACGTGGAAAATATATTTCTTCCTCCGACTATACACGTCAGGCCTCTGTCGATTTGCTTCTCGATATTTTGGAACATGGAAAGTTTGACGCTGAACAATTTTGCGATTTCCTTATATTTCTTCCAGTGACTATACACGACGTGTTTTCAGACGTGAAAAATATATTTCTTCCTCCGACTATACACGGCGCGCGTTCAGAAGTGGAGCGTTATCAATCAAACGAAAAAGGAAATTACAGTGTCAAGAATTTTACAAGAAGCCTCTCCCCTATCGATATTTTCCCCGAATTAAATACTTCAACGCGCCTTTTTAATTTCGTCTCAACGTTCTCCTATAATTTGTAACATTCACCCGTAGCACTGTTAATCTTTCAAGGAAGACAGAAATTTTCTAGAGAACCCTGAGAACGTTCTCTCGTCGAGAGAAATTCGTCGATGGCTCCATAATTGATCGAAATCTGTCGCAGCTGCCAAAACTAGTTGACAAACGGCTGACGTTGAATATTGCTTAACTTATTAAATATTGTGCCGGTTGGTGGTTCCGTGTCTGTTAGGGGAACAGCGTTAGCGGGGGGAGGCGGGAAAAAGGGTCAATTCCGTTTCCGGGATCCAGTTTCTTCCCGGTGACGGCGTCACCGACCATGATTTGCATATTACGAGGTTTCGTAACGCGTGCAGAGGCTACGGTCGCTGGACTCATGCATATGCATTAGCATATATTTCGCCGCGCATAATCCCGCGTCGTTTTATATCGTTCGCGGCCAACCACCGCCGTTTTGACAATGTACAATTTATTTCCGTCTGGTGAACCGTGATTCTTTACAATTTCTTCAA